AGGTTTACTCTTCAAATTTCGTGGGGAGAAAAAGAGATCGATCATTAACAGCACAGTATTTCGGTTCGATCGATAAAATAAAAATGAACAATTCTGAGTTCTATTTATTCGTACATTACTTACCATAGCCATAGCTTCTTTACTCTCTCCACCTGGTATATCAATCGATCCAGGATTTGAATAAGTTTCTGTCATCGGCGTAACATTATGGCATATAGCTATAGCTAATACTGCATCAGCCATACGTTCATTGGTTGTACGACGAATTTGACGAGTTAATTGATCTGATAAATTACCGATTGTGGAACCAGCAGTGAAATGATTACGCAATCCTTGGACAACCTCTTCCATGGAATCTGATGCAAAAGCTACACTGCCTAAATGTAGCTTTTTAAAAACCATTTCATTTTGTGTAAGTGTACCAGTTTTATCTGACATTAGATAACAAATACGACCCAATTCTTCAGGTATATTAGTATTACGAACAAGGCAGTTTGGCAGGGATTTGTCGCGCATTATCATAAAAGAGTATACGATTTTTGCCAAATCCATATTAACACGCAATCTGGAAGAATTAAAGATTTCATAATAAGAATAAGAATAATGATGAACGATGGATTCTTTACAGTAAAATAAAGCCTCACAAATAAAAATTATACCACAAATGAGTTGTTCTGGAACGTAAACACTTTGACAAACACCTAGTATGGAATCATCTAAGAATCATTTTCAATTAAATTTGGGATACATCATCAGTATTAAATGTTGATCCCTACAATGTTCGAATCCACAAACTTTCAGACTTAATGAATAGTAACAGTCAGCAGAGTTAACCTAAGCTAGAATATATATAAATTCACCCCATTGCACAAGCAAGTGGTTATCAGGACTCAGTAGCTAAGTGAATAACGCGATGGCGTTTGAAGCGGAAAGTACTGGGTTCGAGTCCACGAGTGAACATTAACTCTGGGATGAAAGTACATCCTGATCACGAGTCCCAAGTAGGACGAAACACGCTCCTGGATACTACTGCTAGCCACCGAACATATTTATATAACGTCAGCCGGTTGAAGTCAAATGTTTTCAAACATTCAAAGAAAAAGACCCGCTCGTGAAAAAAGTCCAAAAGAATCGAAATGGTTTCACAGTCGATGTGAGTACACGATATTTAGAAAAAACAATCTTGATAAATCTAAACTGTCTGGCATTACCAAGCATCACTTCCTTTTACATTACCTTTGATTTTGTTGACCGTCATCGCGCACGAATACATTGTGGACAATCAAGTTTTCTTCGCTTATTACTGTATTAGGGTCATATTGAGATGACTTACCGAGGATCTATGAATATAGTGGGAGCTTCAGAATCTCACTAGACTTCCTTAACAAATAAAGTGACATTGTCGTGCTACCCCCTGACTCGTGAACAACCTATGTCACATTTAACTGGTTGGCCATTAGTTCTTCTGTTGTCTCCAAAGGATTGCTCACATATGGTAGTAACACCATGTAAGTGATTCTGATGTCTAGCAATCTATACTTAAGCAGTATCGATAAGCTGACTAGTTTCATCGTCTCGAAACACAATCTACGAAGAATTACACATGTTTCACGAACATCCCCTTGATAGAACCCATAACACCCACTTGCGTACACCTGAACTTCATGAAAAAAGGGGAGAAGTTATCATAGAATGAAGGATGGTTGTCGGACTAGGACCCGCTGATTCGTTCCTTATTAATGTCCAACTGCAGTCAAAAATATTACACAACTAAGTAGCGTGAGACTTTACCTGATATGTCTCAGAACAGAAGCGAGTAACGATCTCATTGTATATTTTTACTGCATTTATCTTAAAAATAGGAAGCATCCTACAACTGAATGAGATCTAATTTGTTTTATGGTTTAATTAGACTGTTCTCTTGAATTAACACCATTTTTCACTCCTATATTTATCGATTACATGATCTTCGCCTCTTCTCTATTTCTTCACAATGTTATCACTCTACTTTTACGTTCCAAGACTGTATTGATGTACAAATTTATCAAACTTTCTATGTCATGAATAAAATTTTATTTATTATTTATTTAAACACATAAACATAGGTACAAGAAGGCACTAGATAGATATGCGCCACATAAATCATTCGATTTGTGTGAGGGCTGAGTGCCCAAACCGAAACAGGTGGTTTTCTTAGGGGCCACACCCAAAGCCTTCGACTTATAGACCTAGTCCACAAGGCAGTGGAGCAACGTCAGGAGATGCAGTTCCACTGTAACGGGTGACCAACAGTTGGTTCATACACCATTTGGTCACTCAGGATCCTGGGACCCATGTGCACCACTGGTTTAGAATGGGGGTTTTCGAATTCTCCTAGGTAGATACTCCATGTCCACCAACCCGGTTAAAGCGCCGGATATTCGCTTCTCGACTTCTTAATTTCGTAAACAACACCCCTGCCACGAGAAGGCGATGAGAAGGACTTCCCTGATAGTGGTTGTATGCATGTGGCCATGTGAGAACATTTAGAGAGAGAGAGAGTTGACTCTCTCCACTCTCAGCCGTACAAAGGCATTTGGGGTAATTATGGAATTCTATAAAATGTATTTTAAAATTAAGAAAACTTGTGCACAAAAAAATAATTCATGCAAGTACAAAATGTTTTTATCTAAAAGAGAGAAAATACTTACGCCAGAGGAATAATGTAAGAGAATAAAACAACAAAACGCCACCAATATTTATACCAAGATCCACTGAAACCTTTCAGTGCAACCATGATAAGAGCTAGAAGTACTAGGATACAGAATAAGAGTTTTGTGATATTATTAATCTCTTGATCGATTTTCCCACGTTTTGTACGTACTCTACTTGAATTCATTACTGCACGTGTTTCTGATCCTGTGTATATGACCAAGCCAATAGCACTTCCAGTAGCTAGTACAGTGTTGGACCAGAGTGTGTGGTCAATATTTAATGAAACTTCTGATGCTTCAGAATCTGTTGGTGAAGTAGGATTGACATCTGTACGAACGAACGTTCCTTCGAAATTATGTATACTCTGTCTCGGCGCTTCAGCATAAACTTGAGCCTGAATAGTACACAAGAAATAGAAAAATATGATGAATACAGGACATTGAATATTGGGCAGTACATGAAGTAAGGCTTTCCCCTTATCTATATAAGTTGAAAAACAGATTAGTGGAAATTCAAGAAATCAACTCCATAAACGAAGACAAGCTTAACATGTCACTATCTTCTTAAATAAGATAGTTGGTGACAGTTAAATTATGTTATACACCATCTAACTAAGAATTAAAATTCTACTAGAATGTTAAACGACTTAAAACAGTTTCTGTCCCATTATGCATAAATAACAAGCTAAAATATTTCTCTATAGTTCCCTTCACTTCAAACTTATCAAATTCTTGATGTTGATTAAGAATTTCTTGAAGACTAGTCAATATGAATGGTTGTTTTTCATTTAATTAGATTGATGTGACTTTAGAAACACAAAAAATAAATAAAATGAGCATTGAGTAAAGAGTTAGTAATAAATATATTGTTTGTTATGTCCCAATGAGTAGAAAAATTGTATTTCTGACGTTTCGTGACTTAATGTAAGCCACTTCTTCAGAGAAATACAAATTTTCTACTCATTGGGACATAACAAAAAACGTGATGTTTGAGGCTCAGTTGCTACAACCAATCGAATAAATTTTCCTATGGAGGGACCTAGTGCGTGGTCTTGAAGTGCAGTAAAAAACTAGATACAGGTATTGCCTATTTATTACCTAACCTCTTCTATAAGAACAAGCTATTAAATGACTATAAAATAGGCATTCAATCCACAGTGAAGGGTCAGGTTTTTGTGAAATGATCGTGCATAAATACAAATGTCAGTCATGTTTATAATATAAGGATGACGTCAAAAGTAAACAATTACACACGAGTCTATACAAGCAACGAACTAATAAACAGTTTAAATTGGAGTCAACCATAGCAACTTTAGGCTAACAACTGATAGCCAATCTTAAATCAATACTATTTCAAATGAAGCAATAATACATTTAATTAAGAGCTGTGCCAGTTAAAACGTCAAGCAAAGTTGATAGTTTTGTAACCCAGGATCATAAAACAACACATTATAATGAATGAAAATCGTATATATATTTTATTTACAAGTACCCAACTCATTAATTATCCCATGCAATCTCATGATTAACTAAGTCAGTCAGTCAGTAACAACGTAGAACTCCGTACGTACGTACATCAGTTCGAGTTGCCATACCACATTAGCACAGAGATGCAGTGGTCGATTCAAATCCCGTAGTGGTAGAGGCAGTAATAGTATAAGCAGTAATCGGGAAGATTAGGGTTTGGAGATGTTATTTAAAGAGTATAATACAGTGAAATAAATTTGGAAGGAGGAAAAAGAGACGAGGAGGAATCAGGAGATTAAAATTTGGGAGAACATAAAGAGTGTATGCACCTGCGCCATTGCAAACGATTTTGAGCCATGTCATTCAGGGTCTCTAACCATCGGTTGCTATCATCTCGCGGTCCCCAACCAGGTAGTCTACACCTATCAACATGACTCAGTCCACTTGTCAGTGACTTCATGGACTTGTGCTATGTTTTAGTCCAGCTGCTCCTATTTTTCTTCCAACCTACTCCTATACAACAAAACATCGCACGTCGAGGTAGTCGGTCGTTGGGCATACATAACACGTGTTCCAGTCATCTCAACTGATGAGGTTTCACCACTTCATCGATCGATTTGCCATCCCTACCTAGTACCCGTTTCCTAACAACTGCATTACTTACTCGATAGTCCCAGGATATACGATCAATGTTTCGAAGACACCTATGATCAAATACTAGTTGTTATATCCGAGCGAAGATTAAATTACAGGTAACTCCCGACTAATATTCTATAAATATTCTGATTGTAAAACTATTGAATAATTAGATTATGTAAATTTATATCCCTCTTATTATAAGCTTTATTTTGATCTATAATTTATTATTGTACGATTTACGGTTCTTAAACTATGTTCAGTCTATTAATTATTATCTCGCTCGTTCACAGCCACTTTTTGGCTCATTTGTGTACACATGTTACTTTCTAATTTATGGTGTGCTGTGGTCTGTCTAGTTGATATATAAACCGAGTATGTTTGAAATAAACGATCTGCTCTGATTCGAAGCTGGTATTGTGTTCTGGACTCAAGTGGAAGGGCTTGTAGGACATAGGACCAATAAGGACGCTAGACTGCCCACACCGGTTGAACGTCATTGGTTGGCCTAGTGTGAAGATTCGTATAAGTCGTATCCGGATTGGTAGATAGGTCGCGTGATAGCAAAAAGCAGACATACTCAAGGTCATAACAATTGGCGACGGTGATTTTGGAGAAAAAAAATACAACGAGTGGTGACTCAGATTTTGGAAATAAATTAGCTGTATAGTTGCCGGTGATTTTTGGAGCTAATATTATTGGCAGTAAAAAAATATGTCGATTTCTTTAGAACAGTTGCGGTTAATATTACAGCACCAGCAGAAGATGTTGGCCTTGCAACAACAGCTATTTGAAACAGTTTTGGGCAGACTTTGCAATCAAGCAGAAAATAAGAAATCTATTTATCATGCAGATAATGGTGCAGTAATGGACATTTCAGAAGCATATCCTGTGCAGGATTCAAATCCCTTTATACCAGAAGGAGAACGTAATATTGGTAACGTGTCCAGCTCAGAGCAAGAAAATATTGTGCTAAATGCACATGAAGTTGTGACGATACCAAATGATCAGGAGCCAGATCCTGTAGATGAAGCCCAGAGTCCAGAATTAAATGAAACACTACTGGTACTGTCTAGCTCTGGAAATAAACTTCAGCCCGAACAAAATTGTGGTCCACGTGCTATTAGTCGAGAAAGCTATGGTGACTGGTATTCAGAAAATAACTGGAGCAACACGATGAACCCAATTGTACCAGATGTCAATCAAAATCACCGGAAGACAGAGCTTTGTATTGAGTCAATTTATCCGATTTCTAACGACAATGTACCAGACATTGATTTTCAGAATAATGCATATAATTTTGATGGAACTTCTCATAACAATGATGGAAATATATCAGCTGAGTCGAATGATGGCCAAAAATCTAATTTAATTTTGTTAGACGACTTTCTTAATGACTCATTATCTGCTAACGAGATTCGTAATGAATTTGAAAATAATGAACTCAGATCAAAGGTTGTTCATCATCATCTAGTCATTTTTAGTGGATTCTCCAGTAAATACGAGAAATATGGTTTAAATAAAGTCCTATTAGTTATAACTTGGAGCCATAAGGACCCAACATTATTTCGAGGAGGAGGAGAATTCAAAGGTACACATAATTCTTTTTTTTTAATCCGAATCTAAACTTGGAATCTTCAAAAAAAAGGGGGGAGGTGTTATATCCGAGCGAAGATTAAATTACAGGTAACTCCCGAAGACTATTAATGGACTAATATTCTATAAATATTCTGATTGTAAAACTATTGAATAATTAGATTATGTAAATTTATATCCCTCTTATTATAAGCTTTATTTTGATCTATAATTTATTATTGTACGATTTACGGTTCTTAAACTATGTTCAGTCTATTAATTATTATCTCGCTCGTTCACAGCCACTTTTTGGCTCATTTGTGTACACATGTTACTTTCTAATTTATGGTGTGCTGTGGTCTGTCTAGTTGATATATAAACCGAGTATGTTTGAAATAAACGATCTGCTCTGATTCGAAGCTGGTATTGTGTTCTGGACTCAAGTGGAAGGGCTTGTAGGACATAGGACCAATAAGGACGCTAGACTGCCCACACCGGTTGAACGTCATTGGTTGGCCTAGTGTGAAGATTCGTATAAGTCGTATCCGGATTGGTCGATAGGTCGCGTGATAGCAAAACCAGACATACCCAAGGTCATAACACTAGTAACCTACGAATATCCTCTACTCTTACCGGCCATGTTTCACTGCAATAAAGTAGGACGGAACGAACTGCTGCGCAGTAAACACGTCCCTTGGTTGATAGACGGATATCTCGCCTACGCCATAAATGACGCAAGTTGGTAAAAGCTAGTCGAGCCTTCTGTATCCGTGCTGAGATTTCGTCACACACCAGACCACAAGGGCTGATGAGACTTCCAAGATAAGTGAAGCGGTCGACGCACTCAACTACTTCACTCCCTATCACTAGTTCGGGTGTCGATGCAACCCAATCCTGAAGCAACATTTTGCATTTCGAGGGGGAGAATGGCATGCCGACCATGCTTGCATTGTTGCTTAGAGTGGTCATAAGACTCTGCATTTTGTCAGCGTCTTCACCAAATAGAACTATATCATCGGAATATTCCAAGTCAACAAGTGAATCTCCTGGTAGAAGTTCAACCCCTGGAAATTTAGATGAGGAAAGTGTTATCTCTAAAAGTACGTCAATGACAAAGTTAAGCAAGAATGGAGAGAGTGGACAGCCCTGGCAAACACCACTTGAGATAATCAATTCTGATGACAGTTCGCCATAAGCTCTCACTCGACCAGTTGTGTTCGAGTAGAGAGCCTTTACAACACTCAACAGCATTTGTTCTGGAACTACTACAAATGGTCAGCACAAACACAAATACTTCATCATTAATAGCATTATTGTGATTTTTCGTTGAGCAGATTGGGACACTGGATTCAGTTTTCACAGTAAATATATCAATCTAATTAACTAATGAACAAGATTCAAACAACTGATCTGTAGCCTTTGCTACTTATCAAGCTTCACCAACAGCGTGTGAAATAATGATATATACACAGTTCGTCAAATAAGGTACACGGAAGAACAACAAGATACAAACTTATAGTTGGTATAAATCAGTAAAAACAAAGGGAAGAACCTCACTATTTCTCAACAAACAATTTAAAATCATCATCATTACAGCTGGAATAAATAGGTTAGCTGATAGTGTGTGTAGAATTTATTTGGCAATAAGAAGTATGGAAGTATTATTCTACTATAAGTTTTGATGTGTCAATTATTTAGGTGGCCCCCAAATGCCCTGGTACGGCCGAGAGTGGGGAGAGTCCGCTCTCCCTCTCGAAATGCTCTCACATGGCCACGCGTATATAGCCTCTGCCAGGGAAGTTCTACTCACTGTCTTCTCGTGGCGGCGGTGTTGTTTAAAAAATGAGAGGACGAAAAGCGAATGTCCGGCGCTTTAACCGCACCCCAAACCAGATAAATGGTGCACATGGGCTCCAGTATCCCGCGGGAACAAATAGCGTATGAACTAATTTTCGGTCACCGGCTTCCATGGGACTGCATTTCCTTACGATGCTCCACTGCCTTGTGGATCAGACCTTCAGGTCGAAGGCTCGGGGAGTAGCCTCTTAAGAAAACCATCTGCTTCGGTTTGGGCACCCAGGCAGTATCACAGCCCTCACACATATCGAATGAGATTTGTGTGGCGCATATGTATTTGGTGCCTCCTTGTACCAATATCTAAGTGTTAAAACAAATAATAAATTATTTAGGTCCTTTTTTCTTCCTAAACTTACGAACACTGTTAATTTCAAATGATGAATTTGAACTAACAGAGGAAAGTCAATACACTTACTTCCATATCCCACAGTGAACTTGGATGACCAGTACGGTTGACAAAAGCATGTGTAGTTGGTATAGCATAACGTAATTTCCAGTCAGTCTCACCGTCAAGTTGATCTGTTCGTATAAAACAAGAACCATTTCGATCTGATGTCCATATTAAGATCATATCTGCTGGAACTCGTTGATTCTTCTCTAAACGAATAAGATCACCAACCTATTATAACCGAAAAACGAATACTAACTGTGAAACACTGAATTCAGTGCACAAGTATTAAATACATTAAACTTAACCAACAGAAAGATACCAGGTTAATTGGGTAACAAGCACAAGACAAGTACGCTGTGATATAGAAAAATTGTGAATTAAGATTTTTAAAATGTTAATTAAAAAAAGAATACAGTAACTTTCACGGTTCTCGACATTCCTAACAATTAATGATTTTTTGGATAAGGTTTCCGAGGCTATGAAACATAGAGGGTTGTACGAAGTAAAGCTATGAATTTGTAAGGAACAGGAGGAAAGGTCATTTAATCAACAAATAACGAAAATAGAATAGTGTTTATTAGAAACAGTTTGGGTGGAAAAAGCAGATGAAACAAATTTAGATCAGTTACAGGTTGCAATTTACCTTTATCAAGAAGAATGAAGCGTAACAATCAAAAAGTCAGAGTTATCTCTGAACCTTTGCTGAGTTAGGTAGGTCATTGTTCGTCACTTATTGAAGAGCTTAGGATAGTCTTGTTAGTTTTTCTGAGGCGATGAGTCAGTTGGACTTCTGCCCAACTCACATTAATTCATTTAGGGTGACAAACCTGTTGGCCACGAGGACATATGAGTTCAATGCATACTAGGGTACGATTAGAATCCTGATGTTTTCCAAAGGGAATAGTTGTCTTTTGCATATTTGTGCAGTCGGTAGACAACCACAATACAACCACTCGAACTACAGGGTGAAAATGTCAGGTAACAAATTGGAGATGATTGTGTCAAAAGTCAGTACTGGTTTTTAAAAATGAGTTGCGATTTAAGCAAAGTTGAAAACAGTTCCTATTATTCGACCTGAGATTAGTAGGTGAAAAATCATGACCCGAAACATCCTCTTCTGAGTTTAAACGTGCATCTAGGCAATTAGGTCCTCAGGTTGCAAAGCAACATCTGTCAAGTGCGCCTTGTTGAGGATTTCATTTATTTGACAGTAGAATTCATCATTTGACTCATCTAAGTAGCCCTCTGACGGTGCATAGACAGAGACTAGGAAAAAGCAACGTTTTTCAAGCCGGTTTCTTTGGTCTCTGATTGAACTATCTAACCTAACAACCAAAAAAAGAACAACTGTTAACGTGAATACAACCAGGTGTTCTCTCCATTTTGACAAGGTTGAACACCAGTCACAGGATTCATAGATAAGTACATGGAGAACCTGTTTGTTCCGTTGTACTATTTAAACTTGGATTAATTTTAATTTTGTTATTTATTCTCTGAAGAAGTGACGTACACTAAGTCACGAAACGTCAGAAAATTCAATTTTCTACTCATTGGGATATTACAAATATATTATTTTTATTTATGTGTTTTTAAATCGATAAATGGGAAAGAAATTTACAGTGGTTGATTGGAGCCCAAATTAAAAGTTTCAGAGATAAAGTATACGTCGATAGTGAGACACTACAGAGTTTAAGCAAACGCTCTCTAGTACCCAATTTATATCAACAAGCAAAAAACTAGGGCGAGAAGTTTAAAAGGTACATATCTTTTCACAATACATACATCAGACATCGTACTCAGTAACAGCTTTCAGACATCAAACATTCAATAAAATAAGACCGTTTAGGATTGGAACAATTTTCAAAAGAAATTATCTGATATATTAAAGAGTAGAATTAGTGTAGGAATAAGTAAAACTCACATGAAAATAAAACGGAGTAGCGAGTAAAAGTGATAAAAAATAAATGTGGGTATAACAAATTCACTATGACTTTTATTACTAGTGAGTCTTAGTGTGCAACGTGACCACATCATTAGCGTCATTGGTAATTATTACCAACTGTGTGAAGGCTTTGATAATAGGTACCTAAACCGAGAGAGGTGGTTTCCTTAAAAGTCACAACGCTTCAAACAAGTTTCCGATCTTATGGTCTGATGCACAAGTTGTCTAGCAATATCAAGAGACGCAATCCCATGGTGCCCAGTGACTAGAGTAGTTCTGTACAGCATTCCTCTCCATATGATCCTTTAGTCTGTGAGGACCATTGGTTCAGAATCAAGATTCTCTAACTTCGTTAGATTGACTCACTGTATCTACTTCCCCGGTGCAGTCTTTGGACGACGGCTCTCACTTTTGTAAAAACAACCCACTAAGGGAAGACAATGAGTAGGGTCTCTTTAAGAGTCGTTTTCAGTAGTGTGGGTCAACCAAAGTGCCAGTATTACTACGAGTTGCATACACTGACGGATTATGAAAAATTGGTTTGCAGTGGTCGTACACTTGGGATTAGCACAACTCAATATAACTTAAACGTATCTATTCAATACAATGTTCAAGAAGGCTTACTTTGATATCTGAACTCATGACGGAAACTTCTTTGTTGCGGACATACTTTCCATAGATAGCCATATTGACATCGCGATCACGAGACCATCTTCCAATGTCATCTACTGCTTCTCGAATCATGGTTACTGCAATCACAAAACCAAGTGGCCCCCAATATGTGTACAGACGACCCACACCAAGTTCGGGAATAAATTGACTACATGCAATTACAAGGAAGACGAGATTTAAAAATACACTGAACTGTTCAAAAAGAACCTGAAAAGTACAAACAAATGAAGTACATAGATTTGCTATTGATAATTACTGAAAACGCGAAAACCACAGAAGTAACAGCCTATAAATTTGTAGCTATGTTGTACAAATAGTAAACCCATACCAAACAAACTTTCAGATATGAACAAATAAATTTTCAGGATATCGACAACCAGCAATTCAGTACTATTGGTAGTCTGCAATCTGGTGTATATGAAACCTTACAAACATTCTTATTTCCTAAGTGGTTCAAAACTGTGTTGTGTATCCTTGGTTTCAGGATGATTCCTAATAAGTTTATGTGAATGTGTAAGTCTCCCGTCACAACATTAAGCGGTTTAGGACTAAATCTC